CGGACAGCGCCCCCTGGCGGCCCCGCGGGCGGCGCCCCCGGGCCGCGGCTCCCGCCGGGCAGCCCGGGAGAGGCAACGGGAGGATGCGGTGCTAACACACGGACCGGGCAGGCCCCATCGCTCCGCACAGCTTCCTCACCACGGGCAGCCACTGATCCCTCCTCTCTGCGACCCAGTAACGGGACCCCTGGGAATGGCCCGAACCTGCGTCAGGGGGGCGTCTAGGCTGGATATCAGGAAAAAGGTTTTTCACTCCAGGGGTAGTTGGGCACTGGAACGGGCTCCCCGGGAAAGTAGCCACAGCACCAAGCCTGACGGAGTTCAAGAAGTGTTTGGACAATGCTCTCAGGCACAGGGTGTGACCCTTGGTAATGGTCCTGTGCGGGGCCAGGAGCTGGACTCGATGATCTTGATGGGTCCCGTCCAACTCAGAATATTCTGTTTATTCTGTAGTAACCCCTGTGGCACGTGGCCAGCTGGTTCCTGGCCAGAGTCCACAGCGATGCCCGGCTACTGCAGAGGCAGCACTTACCCCAGGCTTCCTGCACAGCATAGGCGTTCAGGAGGCACCCATGGGGCTGCTTGGCTGTGCTGAGCACGTGGACAGCGTGTGCACACAGTTCTCTGCTGGCAGAAGCAGGGAAGATACTTTGTAAGCCAGCTGTGGGTCACCACTGGTCCTGGACAGCCTCTGGGAATCACAGGTGAAGCGTAGGTACTTGTGTGCACCTACAGCAATGGTGGGGAATCTCCAGAAAGCAGGGGGATGACACCTCTGTCACCATCTCTGGGGAATGCTGGTTGCCTTCAGTTCCACTGGATTACAGGGAAGAGAGCGGACTGACTCATCCCAGCTCCAGCCCAGGGCACGCTTCCTCAGTGGTGCTTCTGTTGACTGTTGCATCCGGCCCACCATGTGCAGGAGCCAGACTGGACCTGTGCCAGAGGACTGGAAATAGCAGGTTGCAAGAAGTGGTTGAGAAATCGAGCTCCTGAGTTGTGGCAGGAGCCATGTCCTTGGATTTCGGAGTCTGACAGAGGAAAATGACCCAGTGGCATGCTTCATGTGTGGAATGCATAGAGGACTTCTTGCTGCAGCAGGTATCAAAACTGCTTGGTATTGAGAAGACCTCTCACAGGAGGCCCGTGCCTGTGTGCATGCAGAAGGCTCTTCAGAAGTCCCTTCTGTAAACAGTAATTGCAGTCTGCAGAGGCTGAAACCAAAACGTGCACAAGAGGGGAACTGTCGACAGCACTGCAGTGCAGGATCATGAGGTGGACACAAGTCCTATGGGCAGGGCACGGGCTAAGCAGGGCCAAACCTCTCAGAGGGAGGTTGTTCATAAGTGAGCTGCTTAAACAGCCCCCTGTCACCAGCTCAGAGCTCATCTGTGAGTGCTGAAGTTCACACAAAGCCCTTGTTGGCACTGCCTCAGCCTCTCTGATGCTGCTTCTGCAAACCTGAATCATCCTTCAGAGACCTCCAGTCTGGAAAGCCTTTCCTGTCTGGTGTGTTTTCCTTTCGCTCTGAGGCTCTCTTGGTGTTTGATTGGAGTGCAGAGGTGACCTCAAGTGTCAGGATGCAAAGGGAGGTAAAGAGCTTCTAGGGCAGAAATGTAAACATCTCTTAGGGTTTTTTCTTGTTTTTCTTTCTTTTTTTCCCCAGATCTGGGATAAAATAAATTGCTGTCTCCTTGATATCAGTGAGCCTCCCACTCCTGCAATGTCCCAGAGATGGTAGGGCTCTCTCGGTTTTTCCAAATTATAAGTCAGGCATCGCTGCCCTCAAACACAGA